AAATTGCCCAAGACGCCTGGGGACCACAGACCGACAGCCGCTCGCGGCCGCTCGCGGCCGCTCGCGGCCAGCTCTGGAAGAAGCGCTTACGGTGGACCGACCGGGATCTACGTGTGGTGTTGTAAGAATCCACGTTGAATGTTATAAGATCTCATGGGTCGGTGATTCTCATGGCGATGAAGTTTTTTTTTCTTTTTTTCCGGAGTCTTTGCCCATTCAGAACGGGCTTGGGCTTGGCTTCAGCAGGGCCGCAGTGGGCCGCACATGGTCGCATGGTCAGTTTCACTGTTTTGAGGTGAACTGCCTAGGACTGTGACCCAGCCCTAGTTGATTCTCCACAGCTTGGTTTCACGGCCCGCTCTGCCAAGGCCAGAGGTCAAGCTCCCCTTCTGCCAGGGTGGCTCAGTCGGCGCCGAGCCGTGGGAGCTGCAGTGGTGGTCCTGTGGACGGTGCGCGAGTGCTTTCCATACCAAGAAACACTGAAAAAGATCCACGGATTTGCGTAGGGTATTGGGTATTGGGCCGTATGTCGTATGTCCTACGACTGTCGCGGTTCTGATCCCTGATCCTTGATCAAAAATTGGTCAACCACTCAGGTTTAGACTCGGTTCATGTTCAGTCCTTCCAAACGGTTTTCACCTCGGGTTGGTGGTTTTCGATGCTTCGCCTCAACCTTTTGGAGAAAGAATGGCCGACCTGGGTCGTCGGTCGTTCGTCGTCGCAGCCGTCTGGAGCAGAGCCCGTGGCCGACTGCGTCGTGTCAGATTCCTGCGTCTTCTCAAGGGATTGAGCGCCTTCTCCCAAAGAGTTGGGACCTTGGACCTGAACCCACATGCTTACAGGTTTGAGGTCCAAAAGCCTAGTTGTGAGTCTGGTCAAAATCTGATGTCCAAAAGAGTAAGTCAATCGTTCTGCATGCGCACCTCCTGCACCAAAATGTCGTCATCCCAAGGGGAGCTGCGTCTGGCCATGCCTTCCTGTAGAGTCGATCGTCATCTTCGGGTAGTGTCGCGGACCCCAAAAGTGGTAGGGTACCCATGGTCTGCCTCAAAACAGGTTGATCAATGATGATAAGCAGCTAGTGAGAAGCACAAGGATGGGGCCACTCTGGTTGTTTTTCCCTCCAGGTTCAGCCAGCATTTGGGTCCATTTTCATCCGGTCCATGTTTCACGGACGCGGATTCCACCCAGGAAAACCGGGTCCACGCGGGAAAACCCTTGCAGGATCGCCATCATCATCGAACCGTGTTCGCACAAAAACATAATTTCTGGGGGAATGCGGTGGTGATCACCTCAGTTCTTGCCATAGGTGCGTGTCGGTTTGCACCGCTGGAAAAAGAGTTATCAAAGAGATGTTTTTTTTCATCCACAGGAAAAGGGCAACCCTCGATCGGGGAGTTGGTAAGGTAAGGCAAGGGTCAAAATTTAAGTGTCTATTTTAATGGGGAGAGCCCCGATCCATGGGTTTTGGTCTATTTCCCTTCTTCCAAGGGGGTCGAAATGGGAGGTCTCCCTATTTTCATACACACCCATATGGCAAAATGATGCAAAATGACCAGTCCCGCAACATCAGGAGTTTTGGACCATGGCACCAGGAGGCTGCACTCGGTTTGTTTCGATTCGCGAAGATGAGGACGTGCGCCATGGCCTTCCTTCTGAAGGAGATGGGGCGTACCGGACATTTGAATTCTTGGTGTCTGCCGGTTGAGCAGAGCATGTTGATAGGATGGGAGGGCGCCATTTGAAGGTTCCACGTAAGGGCTGCGAGGTCGTTTTCCAGAATCAGTAGAACCTATACCACACAAGGGGTGGTTACTGAACACCCCTTAACCTTTAAGGGGCTATTATCTAGACACCCCAAAACCGAGGCCCCTGGTAGCATGCAGCCTTTTTCCTTTCGGCCCAATGATTGGAAACAGAAGCCAGCATGGCGCCCCTCAGCATTTTTCGAGTCTTCGAAGGCGCGATCTGAAAGCAGATTGTGCATCCACAGCTTTGTGCAAAAAGGACAGCTTCGGTCCGATTCCGGGTGGATTCCATTGTGGGGAAGAGTGTTTTATACGAGAAACCGAATTTTCGTTGGGAAAGCCTTTATTTTTTGGGAACACCTACGGGCCGTTCTCAAAGAAGGGGCTTCAAGCACGCTGCTCGCAGCCCACACCGGGGGTGGGAGGAGCAGCTCGGCCCCCAGCATTGAACGTGAAGGACCGACACCAGGTGCAAACCACAGACCGGTACCGTCCTTTTTTGGGGTCGGTGGGCCGGGGTTCCCAGCGGATTTCAACCAAAGCACCTGCCAGTGGTGGAAAAACGCCCGCATGACCAGGGGTTTGGAGTCGAACAATGGACAGGTTTGTAGTAGTCAGTCAGTCAAACTTTTTGTTGCTTTCGACCTGTTAGAGGATCAAGTTACTTTATGATTTCAGCAAGCAAGTGCGTTCTGGTCAAGCAGAGCAACCAACTGGCGAGTTCACGGAAAGAAAGGCATGCATTCAAGCGACCTAGTAAACGTGGCTACCATGGGCGGGTAACATTGAAGACCCGCTGTAGAACACCTTGTTGAGGATCCTAAGAACAACTTGAGAAAGCCAAGCCCTTGGGCTAACCCCCATCCACTCAGTGGTCTCCCAATAGATCATATCAGCCGCATCAAAGACGGTGGTATCAATTCTGGCAAGCAAATCTGAATCTCACGTATCTAGCAGCTAGCAGCATCCAACGGCAGGAGCCACCATCACATTTGCTGAGCAGAAGCCCCTTGTTCTCAACGATTTCGCCTGAAAGAACGCCAAACCTTGGCTACTTGACCTCAAACCATTGGAACCCCAATCTGTTGGAACCTGGGCGGCCTTTTGTCGGACCCACATCCCCATGGCAGCCTATCCCACGCTGCCGCGAGCCACGTTCTCCGGGGAAGGCTCCCGGGTTCGCAAACGCCGGCAGTCAAACACCAAAAGCCGATACGGTTGATGGATCAACAAAAACACGCGCACCATTTTGTTGGAGGGTTGGATGGTTCGGAAGGCGTTTTTTGGTTTCGGTGGTGCAGTGAATGGGCCCCCCGGCGTCGGAGAGACGCGCCGCGCCGCGCGGTGGAGCGCTGCACTGCACATGGGACGGGTGCATTCGCCCCGGGGTCAAACACCGACCGATCCGGGGGCCGATCCGGGTGATCGTCCGACATATCCTACACGGAGTTTCGTTCGGCACCACTTCATCCCAAGAGAGTGTCCACTTCAGGCGGACCCTCTCACCGCCTGAGTTTCCGGGGCTTTGGAGTGGCGCAAATTGGGTGGTGGGCGGGTGCAACTGCCTTCCTGTAGTTGGAACGCCTGCGCCGCGTGCAGCAGGGAATAGCTGCGAAGATCGGTGGGAGAACCTTAGTTTTCGAAACCAAAAAGAAGATATGGCTTTCCGGTAGATGTTCCATGGAACCAATTCTGGGAATCAATCCCTGTGGGAAAAAAGCCACGAGCAGTTCCTTCGTTCTCCACGCCCAAAGACCACAGAGGGACGGACTCCGTCCTCCAGCAATTGGGTGACCTCTAGGGGCCTGGAGAAAGGTATTGGTTGCTGTAGACCACCTCCCTTCTGCCTAGAAGCGAGTTCGATCTGTAAAATACACATACACTTGGGATCACTTGGGATGATTCATCCTCTCAAAAAAGAGACAAAACATCATCCCAGGTGTTCTGCACTCTGCCACGGTGATGGGGGCGTTACGGACCTGCGAGGCGTCGCACATCGCACGCCACCGCGACCGCTGACCGCGCCCTCGGTATGGCACCGTGACGGCCGGAGGCTCGACGAGTCGCGGAGTCGGAGTCAGCGCAGTGGGGTGGGAAGCGGTGGAAGATCATGAGATCATTCTGGTGGCCATAGGGGCTGAGGAATTCCTTGGGACACTGGTGTTTTTTTGGGGGCTATAGGCCGCTATAGGCCTCACAACTGTACTGCTGAGCCCAGACAGCTTGGGGCCGTCTGTTTTTCCCCCCCTGTCCAGCGACTGGTCAACTCGACTCGGTCATCCAGGCGCGGCAGCTGGGCTGCTTCTGGGCTTGGGGCCGTCAGCGCCCTGGCGGCTCTCTCTGCCAGAGCGCCAGTGAGGCGGACTTCCGTCCGGGGGGAGACTCCTTCGGAGATCGTCGCTGGGTCGGTGGCTGGGCCTGGCCTGGCAACGTGGGGAGGGAACGGCCAGGTGGTGTGCTTGATTCTGGACCATCTTAAAGAAAAACGATCGTGATCGATCTTCCAAGCAGTGGCATGCAGAACTGCATTGAAGATGCGAAGTAGCTAATCTTATATAAATATAACTGTTCCTTGTACACACTCTTGTACTGTTGGTTGAACAGGGGAAAAAACTCATAAACTTAGCTCAGCATGCCCAGTCAGAAGCTTCCAGCAGTTCTTTGGGGATCTCGAAACCCCTTGGCAAAGACCACTCAGCTTGGAGCTGACCATCGACGTTTCTCAGGATTCTTCGACAGGACAATCTCTTCATATGGGAGGGTTTATTAATCACCAGTCAGCAACTCTAACCATCATCATCCACTGGGATATATATATATATATACCCAAGTCCACATTACTATTCCATCTTGGCGCTGCATCTCGAAGCTTCAGTCTCAAGCGACAGGAGAGGTTTGGCAGCTTCCGACCTTTCGTTTCCCAAGCATTTCCTGGACGTTTTGTCAAGAGAGCTGCCATCAATTTGCATTCTTTTGGTGAGATTCATGTTGAAGTGGACGCTGGTTTTGGCATCCTGGAGTGTCAGAATTCAATTGTTGGTTCCGGCTTCCAGATGCTATTCAGGATGACGATTTCAGCCAACCATGCACCATAGTTGATCCATGCAAATCACTGGAGCCCTGTCCTCCACGCGAGCCCTGACCTGAAAACCCACCAAACAAAACAGATGCAGAACCGCGGTCCCAAGTTCCACTGTTGGGAACCTCGTGGAGTGCAGAGTGCGGCGACTCCGACCACGGCTCCAACCGGCCATGCCGAAGAGTGGCTTACGCGTGGCGTTCGAAGTGGATGAATGCGATGAGCGGCTGGGGGGTGAAAGCGCAGAGGGAGAGGTTCTCCAGAAGGTGCCCAGCGGGAGCAGACTTGGGTGACGGTGACAAGGTCTAGGGATCCTGGCTCGGACTTGGCCTGAAGTAGACTTCATGTTGGTATATAGTTTGATGGTTTGTTTACTATTTACTCATACATACATCATTGTTTTCAAACTCTTCGTTCGACATGTTCAGAACAAGCACTTTGTCCTACGAAGTCCAGTCAACTCACTTTGAATGGTCTGACCTATGGTGACCTCAGGCATTTCCATGCATTTCCTTTCTCTTTGGTTCCTTCGCATCGGCTTTCTGGACCGTGCTGGCGAGAGTCATCCGCGGCATTCGATCGAGTGGCAGACATCGCCAATCACGAGACCAAGAGCTTTTGACGCACTGAAAGAAGAGCGAACCGAGCGCCATTGACCTCGGTTTTTGCTCGGAGCTTTTCCACTCACCGAGCTCTCCAAGACCCGACCGGGTGAGCTCAGCGGAACCGACGCCGGACCGACGTCCGGTGTGAGGTGAAGCGCCGCGAGCGGAAGGCGCAGACCTTCGATCCATCCAAGGTCGCGCGCGCGAAGGACGAGGCGGCGCCGCGACCAGAGCGGCGACCGTGGGAACCGAGCGAGGAGTGGTTGGGGCGCCAACCAGCCAGAGATCAAGAACTCGTGGGGCGGAATGGGGGCGGGGGGGGGGCGAAGGTGACTTTTCTTTTCTAGCAGCACCTTCAAAGGGGTCACCAATGGAAGCCCCCCACCAGACAGGACACCCCTTGAAGGTCCAGTTTTTGTCACCACTTCGACCGAAGACGCGGCGACCGGGTCCACGGTTCCAGTTCCGAGACGTGAGGGGTACACACCTGTTGCTTGACAGTTTGAGGGACCTCTCTACTGAAAACGACCAAGGGGCCCAAGGCCCCCGGTGCCAGGGGTGGTGAAAATGGACACCCCGTGCGACACCTCTTGATAAGGAGCTATGATGAGACACCCCTTAAGAAAGGGGGGCCCAGGTAGAATGTATTTGATTTTGTCTTGGTAACTCTTTTTTTAACCATTGACTCTCCAAAATGATCTCGTCACTCTCTAAGGTTTTGTGGACGGTTGGTGGTTTGATCCCCTTAGATCTCCTCCCTTTGAGGTCCGTGGTTTGTTTTTTTTTGGTCCAATTTTCCATGGAAGAGAGGGGCCAGCAGTTCCATGGAGTCGGGCGCCGGTTCCGAACCGAGGACGGAGTTGGGTGTTTCACCCAAAACCCCGTGCCCGGCCGTCAGTCAGTCACATCCACTCACTGGATGGGACGGAGCCGAACCAGTCCGACGTGTTTTGGGGGGATGTGTGTTTTTTTCTTCGTTTTTAAACAACCTGAGTCCTTGCCGGTGAAGCCGTTGACTTGCAGCGGGCCATCAATGGGCTACTTGTACACCCATTGGTGTGGTGTGACTCTGGTGCCAGGGTGTTTTGACACTCCCCTAAAGTAGAGACATCTCCAGATGTGAATCAGGTTGCGAAGGCATCCATCTCGGACATCTCGTACCATGCCCCTTTTCCGCACCGTGAAGCTGGTGTAGGTCCCTTTTCACGGCAGGGACTGAGAATCTCTGAGAGAAGTGAAATCACTTTTCCATCCAACTTCCCCTACAACCTGGCCCTGAAAAGCAATTTGGTGGCGTTTTTGTATGATCAACTCCAGTAAAAATGAGGTCCAACTGACCTCCAGGCTTCCCTTCCCGCTTCGGGCTCGGGAAGCCCCGAAGGCTCCGACCGAGACGCTGGCGACGCTGGCGCCCAAGCGCTACACCGTGGCCACGGAGAAGGCGGGGCGACTGCAAGCAGATCTAGACTGCAAGTCATCCAGGGTTTCGTGGAGTTGACCTCCACCTGTTTGGCAGATTTTCGGACATGACAGTTTTTGTTTTTTTTTGGAGCCTTTTTTCTTTCCTCGATATCCGTGATGAATTCAGGGAGTGGAGGTGGGTTGACTGGTATTGAGGGTGCTTTCCCAGCCGAAGACCACCCGTCAGAATCTTCAGAAGACCTCTTACATCAAAGAGCTGCGAATGGAGATGTATGCACCTAGCCAAGTCCAAGCTTTTTCTGCCACAGCAGGGGCCCCTTAGGCCCTGACTCTTCAAGAAAAAATCACGATGTCCTTTTTCTTAAGAAGAGGTTGCCCGTTTCCACAGACAACGAGGTCACTACACTCGAAGAGGAGCTCAAGACGAGGCCTACCGGGTAGGGGTCGACTCGGTCGACTTGGGTGGTTTTTCCAGAGTGGCCGAGCTCGGCAAAGGGGGGCGTGACTTGTCCGGGAGCACCCGGTGTCCGAGTTGACTGGCATTTTCAAGTGATGGCATGGGGTGCCATCATGCTGGGGTGAAATCCAGTAGTTATGAGTCATGAGGATCAAAAAGGAGTTGACTGGCATGGAACACATGGACTCTTTATGACTCTTTGATGGAGAACAGAGTGGGTGGTGCCTTTGAACAACCTACTGTACATTGTGCAAAAAAAGTTGGTCTATGGGCCGCCTCGAAACAGTTCTGCTGTTTCGTTCCCGTCCCAATGGCATGACAGGCCCAAACAAGCAACTATCTACCTCACCCCACCCACCAACCCCCTTCTCCACTCCGACCTGCCAACAGTTCCGCTTTTGTGAACCCTTCAAGCCCCACCACCAAGACACTGCCCAGGTGCGGTGTCTTGGGCGCGCGACGCCGGCAGAGTGCCTCGCTGTTTGGCGAGGCCGTGCGCTGCGCGGAGAAGGCCGCTGCGCTGCAGCGCGCCCTGCAACGCGTGCACGGCGCGGGCGCGGGCGCGGTGCTGGGCGGAGCGTGGCAGAGGAAGTGGCTGCAGCTGGGGCAGAGCTTCAATGTGGGTTGAGGGGTCGGAGGCGGTGAAGACAGGTTTTGGGCATGGAATAAGTTGCAATAATAAGGGATGTGCGTAAAAAGGCTAAGTGGGTGAAGCGTCGAGCACTTAGTGCTCAGGCGGTATCGAAATGGATCCATTCGTGTGTTTTGCTCTTGAAGCTCGACTTCTTCTCCTTCTCCTTCTCCTTCTCCTTCTCCTCCTCCTTCTTCTTCTTCTTCCGATATGTTGGCTTAGTCTGCTTGTCTATGACCTGACACGGCCAGTCACATGCAGTACTGTATATACTCCAGACTCATAGCAGTTTTTTGGGGTCACACATGCGACGGTTTGTCCGCTGGCTTTGCAGAAAATCATTCGCACAGAGTGACTGCTGGTTTGTGCGTAGATGATCGTAGATGGAACATCATTTCAAGACCCTCGCATGGTTTTGGGTTGGACACATCATGTCACCATGTCGCTGCCTAATTCTCCTAGCTGGACTTCTTTATGCTGGAGCTCCATCTGAAGACTCTTTCTTTTTCTGTCCACTCCCACCCCAACCACTCCAAAGCCATCACCCCAAAGCACCCCAACTCGCCTGTCCACTCCAACCCTCGCGAGGTCGGAGCTGGAGGTCGGCCTCAACCGCTTGGAGTTGATCCTTGGAGCAGTTGGCATGTTGGTTTAATGTTTTTTCTTGCGAATGAGGGCAAACCAGCGAGTTTCGATGTTGATGACTCAAACTTCAGAGGATGAGTGGATGAGAGGTTTTAGCATCTCCAATGGAGAAAGTTTCGAACAATTCCGTCTAGTGAGGATGATGTGGCAGAAACCTCAGCACCGCGGGTTCAGTCTTGGGGAAATGGCTCCGACCACCAGCTGAATGGGCGGAGCCTGCGGAAGATGAACTGGATGAACACCTTCGTGCACGATCCACGCGAAGACCCCCATTGGGGTCCCAATCCCGGGGGCCCCGACGATGCCCCTTCCCAATGTGATCTTGATTCATCGGGGCGGTATTTTTTCGGGTCCCCCGTTCACTCCAGAAGACATGGAGTCTCCAAATCCGCCACAACTTCTGCCTTCCACCATGGGTCTCGCCGACCATGATGACCATGGCTGGGTCATCAGCTTTGGACCGAAACGAAACTAGCTGGCGACCCAGCGGCGGCCTGCTGAATCGACTGGCGCAGTAGGAGCAGTTTCAATGCGACCTGCTTCCCCGTGACTCGGCCCGGTCTCCCAATGGTTACTGGGCCGCCTCGGTCGATGGTCAGCTCTCAGTAGCCTGAAGGGTTGTCTCCTGCTCGGGCGGAAGGAACCGCAGTCCCAGGCCGTCGGGCCTTTTGACGAGCTCTGGGGGAGCGATTCAATGGACATGTCCTGAATTCGTGTCATGTAGTCAGACCAATTGAAAGATGGTCTGGCACTTCCAGGTTGGAGGCCATCGCTATTAGGTTGGAGGCCATTGTAGTGCTTCATTCGCATTTCGCCGGTGGGGTCGCTGCGCGACATCGCGATCTTCCCCGGCTCTGAAGAGCCACTGGGCGATCAGCTGATCGTTGGGACGGTCACTCTCCTGCCGGACTGCTGGTGGTCTCCCTTGAGTGTTTCCCTGATCTTCGTCCTGGCCACTGGCTCGACGTCTTTTTTTTGTTCTTCCATCTTTTTGGCTGACGAATCCTGTGAACCACCGCGCGCTTTCGCACCGCACCACGCGGGTCCCTTAATTACCAGACGGGGTGTCTGATCATCTCAGACGACCTGGATAGCACCTGACGCCAAAGAGGTGACCACCAGAGATTCAGCATCAAAAAGATTCCGTTTGCAACAGGACAAAGAGAAATGATTCCTGCCTGTGAAGACAGGTGCATGACTCTACATGACCTGTCTGAACCATCACAGGTCCATTCGGATGAATGAACCATCACGAGGGGCCTCTGAGCATTGGAGAGCTGAAGGGAAGTCTGCACATTTAAACATCCCAGGAGTCACATAGAGTTGGGCGGTGTTTAGTCCCCAAGTGAGTGGAGAATGGGCACCCCTAACCTCCATGCATAGCACCCCGACATGTGACTGCTGGTCCTTAGATTTTTTCCCCGTGGCGAGAGATGGCAGGGAGATCAGAGATCAGAGATCTTATCTTGCGCCAAGAGTTCCTCAAGATAGCAGTTGAATTGGACACCAATAGTTTTTGAACAAATTCACTTCTGGGAGCGGATCCCACCATTGCTTCTTCCTGAGGACAGGCTCCTCTGCTGAGACTTTGCTCAAGGTCTTGGAGCATCATGGCTGGACAAGCGATCCGCTTGAGGATGGCAGTGGCCACTTTAGTGGCGACAACCCCCCTGACTTGACGCTTGGAGCTGCCGAGTATGGGGGGGACGGGCACCGGTGAAAACTCCGGGTGGGAGCGAGCATCGGCGGCAAAGCTCTTAGCTCTTCCAGAATGGAGGGCCTGGGACATAGCAAGGAATTCACGATAAACGTCCGGAAGCATTTACAGTGGTTTCAGAGTAGATGGCACAACCCCCAAGATACCTTTTAGATGGGGATCCAGGATCCATATAAACCACCTTTTGGTATTTGCCATCTACTCTCAATCCCCTGTAGGAGTCATCAATATAAGACCAAAAGAGACCAAGGCAAATGTCACCGATCATATATACATAGATATATACAGCATGCTGTACTCGACTGGGGAATTCCAAGGAACAACACTCAAAAAGTGAAGATCCTGGACTCCAAATCTTGCTCAGTCACCTATATATATATATATATATGATTATATATGTAGAAAAGGCCACCCAGACTCTGCGACATGTCCCACGCAAGAACGTGGCCTGCGGCACGTCCCACGCCACGCAAGAACGTGGCTCCGACACGCTTCGTGGCTCCGCCGCGCTTCGCCAAGGAATGTGTTGTTGAAGAAGCTGCGCTTCCTCGCGGGCGACCTGGCATCGGCCCCGCCGTCCTCCGTTCCGGAGACGGCGCCGTCCTCCGCTCCAGAGGAGACGATGGGGAGTGAAGACCAGGGCCGTGTTTGGAGTAGCCAATGGTTTGCATGAACCCTCATCAACCTAATGTGTAGACACGAAACTACGCTTTCTAATTGGGAAGGGGCAACATCAATTGGAGGTCAATATTGTAGGAGACGCCGACGCGTGATGACGTCAAACACTAAGCGAGAACAGTGATGAATGATGAACACCGCTGCTAATGAAGGAAAACACACACTAGGAAGCCGCTTTTGTGGTTCTATCAATCTTCCTTTTGTTGAATTCTCTGACGTCACTTGTTTGCCTTGTATGATTGCCACGGGGACGTCGCACCGACCCCATTGGACGACTGGTTCGAGAGAAGGGTTCGTTCAAACTCTCTTCCATGATAACGAAGGTGCCCGGTGCCACTGTTCTTCTCAGAAGCCACAAAGAGGTATAGTAGGGAAGAGACGACCGTTTGGAGTGGTTCGTTCACTCACCTCAAACGAGCGATTCCTCACCACTCCAACGGGCCAGATCTTCACCGGTTTGTGGGGCACCCACCGTGTGGGGCATGGCCTGGCCGGTGGCACACAGCTCTCGGTGGCCGGTGAAGTTCTGGGACGGTGGCCGGGAGGCCGAGGATGGCAGCTTTCGATGATGGAGGGGACCTCGTCTTTTTTTCGTTTGAACCTCACACCCAACGACCTTCAAGGTGACAGGCGCCTTCAGGTGCGGAGGTGTGTGGCTTTGCTCATCCTCATCTATTGAGGACTCATCCATGAAGTTCAAGATCAACCAGCAGTTTCGGTTTCTAGTCCCCATCCAGTGAGAGAATCACGAGCAGTTCCTGCCCTCCCAGTTCGTTCGGCACCCCAATATGGAACTCCTGGAATGAACCAAACCTGCGGTTTCTGGGCGGAGGAGTGGCCAGAAGAATGGCAAGAAGAATGGCAAGAAGAATGGCCAGAAGAATGGCAAGAAGAGTGGCCGGAAGAATGGCAAGAAGAGTGGCCAGAAGAATGGTGGGTGGCTTGGGCTTCAAACAGGCTGAACTCTGGTGAAAGTGACCGGCGGCCGCGCTGCGTGGCCTTTGGTTGGTTGGTTGGTTGGTGTTTTGTGGTTCGATGTTTGCTTTTATGCTAAACTTGGGGATGATCGAACACACCAAGCTACTGACTAAAAAAAAATGGGGTTTGTGACTTGAAACCAACTCAGAAAGTGCTTAAGGGGCACCCACCCCCTCCACGCCCCCGGACGGGCTCGCCGGAACATCTGCACCCGACACGCTTCGTCCCGTTCGACCGTCCCGGTTCGTCCGGTTCGACGGGTTCCGGCGGGTTCGAGTTCGGTGGAGTTCGGTGGAGTTTCACAGGATGAAGGGACACTTGGGAGGGAGTTCTACTCCACCATGAGTCACATGGACATCACATTCCCCTGCTCAGAGTGGGACACCTGTTTTCTCTAGAATGAACCGGGAGTCACATGTAGTTGGGTGCCGGTCCCGAAGAGAAGAGGAGAGGAGGGAGAGGTAGGGGACCCTGCAGACAGTCGCATCACATCCACGGCCACGGCAGATGGGACGAGCCACAGCACCCCCACCTCAAGCAACCGGTGACTCCTGATCGATTTTTTTGTTTGCAATTACAAGCAGTATCCAAGAGAGATGGTCTGGTGGTTCTTGCCGTCCATGGGTTAAAATTGGTGACATCATGGCTGACATGGCAAATCACCCGTTTTCGTTGGGCGTCAAAAAAGCAACCGCTGTTAGGTTGGAGGCCATCGCTGGAACTGCTGGTAAGTCCATACTCCTGACACCCTTTGCCGTGTTGTGACCTAAAGAGATGGCACCCTTTTTCGCCCATCTAGAATGCGACTTTGACCACCTGTGGAGCAGAAGGTTAGCCGCAGAGCGGATTGCATGGAGGTGTTGTGTTCTACCCAGTTCTTCTAGTATGTGGAGCGACTTGCTATATATTGCTGCAATGTGCATCGATTTGCTATATACCAGCACCTTCATGTCGGGGTCACCTGGCTGGAAGCCCCTACACTACTAAGGGACCTCCAGACAGGACACCCCGAAAGAAGGTCCAGGTATATTTCGTTTTAAAGTTGAGGACCATAACCCCTGAAAAAAGACACTTCAAGGAAAGACGGTGCCATGGTCCTGGAAGACGTCGCCTTAACAGATCGGATCTGGTGCAACAGATCGCCATACCTCATGTAAAGACTTATTGATGTACCCTAGAAGTATTTCATGTTTGATGTGGCACTGGATGAAATGAACGCTTCAAAAGGTCAGCTTCATTTGCGAAACCCATAAAGAAACATCGGATACCAACAAACACTTTACTGAGTTATTGGTTCTTCAACACTTTTCTCACGACAATTACAAACAAACCAAGCGGGTTTTTTCAAACGATTAATGCGGAACATAAAAGACAGTGAGTTTGTTGATGATATGATGACATTGACAAAGAGCGGGTTTCAGTTCTGAAATCTGTCAAATCAACAAATGAAAACACCAAAAACAAGACACACACACACACACACCAAAAAAAGCTACCAACCCACCGACCAACAAGGAAATCTGATCAGCAAAGACAATTGCTCTGCTAGGCCTTTCTACCATAACCCTGCCATCTCCCAAAGGTGAACACCGGAGTCAGTGAGGAAGTTTATGACCAAAACAATCTACAAGCTGAACCCTTTTCACAAACAACCCCCCCGACAAACTCACCCCTCCACTGTACCGTGTTTATCTCTGCAGGGAGCTCTAGCTCTTGCTTTCCCACCTTTCCGCACAGTCTGCGCGGAAGTCTGTGCGAGGCCAGCGAGGCCACGTAGCGCCCGATGCGTCGCGGCACATGACACGCCTCCGTGAGAGGCGCGGACGGAGCGTTTCATCGTTCGGTGCATTGGTGGAGGGGGGAGACACCACCAGGTGGTGATGAAAGGGGTGCCACCACCAGGTGGTCGAAGAACCCGAAGAAGGATCAGTTGGATATGGTTGGATCGCTCTCGTGTCATGCACTCCGAACCGCGTCTGTGGCAGCCAGTGGCATCAACGCGTCTGACCTACCGCCGGTTACAAGCACATCGACTTTAGACGGGCACTGTTTTCTTGATTCCAAGATTGGTCAAGGCGTCGAAGGGTTTGAGGACTCTGCCTGCAGTGTTTCTCTCCACTTCCGACCCTATCCCCCCCCCCCCGACCCAATGCAGGTTCTTCCTTGGCCTCTTCCCCGACCCTGCGTTCCGTAGACCTCTATGTAGTTCTTCTTGTGGGCCTGGCCCCTTCTTCAACCCAGCCTGGCCAGCCTGGCCAGCCTGGCCGGGGGATCTTTGGGTTCGACTCAGGTGAGCGACCGACCCGAGAAGGGCGAGCCACCAGCGGGGCCAGCAGCGCCTGGGCCGCTGGGGTTGGGTTTGGTCAAAGGAGCTCGGCGACTGTTCGTCCGGGTTTGGAGTGGCCAGGCAACTGGCTAGTTGGTACCTTCGGATTTGGTGAAACTCGAAGCAACTGGCCAGCTCTTTTGTCAGTCTGGTGTTTCACAAAGAGATTTAGAGATGATATAGGCTTTCATTGATCTGACACTCAGGGAAGCAGGGCAAAACCAGTGACCCAAATTCCAAAGGCACTTGTGAATGAGACGAACGCATCCCAGGTCCGTTTTGGTCCAGGCGGCAAATCCACAGATGATCCAAATTCGTCAGTCGAAGGGGAGGGAGATTTCCCTGAGAGTTACCATGTCATCCACGTTCGGTCTTCAAACATATTCTTGGCCGCAACTTGGACGGGCTGGGATCCGACTGGTTCCTCCGATCCGACTGGTCCTTTGTGCTCAAAAAGGAGGTCTAAGCCTAAGCCTAAGCGTCCATTTATGTAGCTTTTCAAGCCTGTCGTCTACATTGTTTGATATCATCCACTAAACATCGCTGACCCAAGCCATGGCTTCCTGGATGCAAAGCTCGAGCCTGGCGGTCGCACGGCGACGCATGTGCCTCCTTCGCACGCAGCTGGTGGTGCTCGTCACCATGTCAGCAGGTCTTTGGGCGAAGATCTCTGTTGGGAGCCAGCCGTTCATTGCAAGCATCCTGATATTGCAGAGGAACCGGCTGTGAGTTTTTCTTTTTTGAACATCGTTGAGCTTGGGCATCGGATTTTCTCTCTATTTTTAAGCATTTTTTCTGGCAGATGAGCGTAGGTTTACTGTAATCGCTTACACTAGAACCATAATATTGCCAACAGTCTGAACCTCCCGCAACTTGGGGGTCTTTCTCTCTCTTTTTGCCGGACCAAAGCACCGAACAAGTTCATGTATCCTCCCGCTTCCCACTATCACTGGGCCTCAGGTGTACTGTTGGGCCTGGCCACACGGGTCAGCTGTGACCCTGCTCGAACGGAGCTGCTGAGACTCGCGGGACTCGTAAGGGCGGAGTTGTGGGATGTGGCGCTTCGCTGCCTCGAGGCACGGCCCAACGGAAGAGACGGTTGCGCGCAAGAGCGCGCGATGGATCTGGGTGGTGTGTGTTTTAATAGAGATCCCTTGGCCCAACGGATAGATTGGTCTATTTCCCTTGGAGCACCAAGGGGGTCTTTGGGGAGTCGACTGGTCTATTTTCCTTTAATCAACATCCATCTGGTGGTGGGAGCAGGGGGCAGGCCAAGGGCTTCAGGCCCAGGCCCTGCAGGGTGGTTTGGCTGTGGCTGTGTGTCACAAGTAGATGTGGCCAGGTTTCAGAGGTTTTGCTGGACTCACTTGGGATCTTGGCGGACTCAGCACCGGTTTTTCAAAGAAGGACACCAGACTGGTCTGGAGGCTGAGATGATCTCGAAGCCACTTCGGATCGATCTGCTGCCGCTTCGGACTGACCAGCTCGAATGGCCGTGACTCGTCCTTCGCCCGAAGGAGACACCCCGGCTCGACGGAGTGAGCTTCTCGCTAGGCGGTGGCCATCATTGTTCTCACCTTCCTCGTGTCCCACTTCCTCCTCCTGGCCGCCATCTGGAGCTTCATCCTTGCCGTGGGCCTGGGCCCCGGCAGTTGAGCCACACCGTGCGACGGCGACCTGCGTGCGGGCGGTGCGCCGCTGGAGCTCGCCGACGAGGTCGCGGCGACCAGGTCCGGCCCTTCGCTGGGACCCGGGTGGGTGGCCTTGCCGAAGATGGCTGAGACACAGCTGTGCGAGCAAGCCGTGGAAAAGACGCAGGACTGCGAGGAGGGGGGTTTTGTTTGGACATCCCGGAGATGAATCTGTTTGAATCACCATCTCCTGGTGAGAAACGGGTTGCATTCCCAGAGAATGTGACTTCTTCGCACCAGTTGGAGCCTTCTCAGAAAGCGCGACACTCGGACCATCCCCACAAGACACTCGGACCCTTGCTTACTGTGAATGTGCAGGCTTCGGGGCCGGCAACCCTTCTTGTCTTCTGGCATGTTCTGGCCAGGCATTTGACCCCCAAACGCGATGGTGTTCACACTACACGGAACGATGGAACGTGCTTTGCGGACAGGCTTTCTGCAAATTCCAGCTGGCTTAAGCTCCTATAGACTAGGGAACAGCGTGGTTTGTCATGGTGCTTCTCCCGATTCCAAAGCAAATCCACTTGGCGGCGTGCGTACTGTTTGTTGCATTCTAGAGCCTTTTCAGTTGCCAAGTAGCGCGAAAGAATGGCCGAACATTCCGGAGCGACGATGAGAATTCCAGTGCAGCAGATGAGCAACTGGGTGTTTATTTACTATGTAGACTCTTGATTAATAAACCCACCCCAATATCCCCAATTGGATTCAAAAACCTCTTCCTATGCGGGGGTTTAAATTAATCAAACGTCTACTTTAAACTGTCAGTTTGGGTTGTTTTTCGCCCATGACCGCATGAGCGTCATGGATGGGCACCATGTGCTTCAGGTGGGCGAGTTATCATAGTTGAAGCTTTTCCTGGTCGTGTCCCATCGGGGAGTTCAAGAGACAGCTCAAACAACTGCAAGATGATGAGTTGATGAAAAGGATGTCAGTGGTCGATGTGGTGAAGGGTGATACCAAGCTGATTGACAATGATCAGACCGTCCTGCAAGCAGGCCTTTCTCCAGATGTGGTTTTGCAAGATTGCTTCACGGTCATCATGCATGATTTTATCAGGGTTGGTCTATTTTGTGCTGTTTCATTGGGATTGAGACATCTCTGAAAAGAGGCCGTCGATGCTGTTTGCCCCTTCAATCGTTCAAGACCTTCTTGTTTTCTTTTTTTGGAACATCAAGGTCCGCTCAGTGGAGTGTTCAAGACTGATGGATGCCCCTCTGATGAGTGGAGATTGTGAGGATTTGTTCATGGTCAACATCCCGGAAGGCGTCCAAGAAATTCCCATCCAGGCCTTCATCTTCTGCGCCCGACTGGGACAGGTGAACCTTTCGGACGTGACCAAGATTGGGCCAGCGGCTTTTAGAAGCTGCAGGTCTTTGACTAGTCTGACCATTCCAGACTCTGTGAGAATGATTGGAGAGGAAGCCTTTTGTGGATGTAACTCCTTGACCGCAGCGCTTTGAGCAGTGTGAACATTCCAGCCTCTCTGACCAAGATTCAGTCGTTGGCCTTTTCCAGATGTGGCTTGGTGACCAGCTTGACAATTCCAGACTCTGTGACCGAGATTGAGGAAGGAGCCTTTCTAGGCTGCAGATCTTTGACCAGTTTGACCATTCCAGACTCTGTGATCAAGATTGGATCCTTTGCCTTTAGTGAATGTAGCTCCTTGACCAGCTTGATAATTCCGGACTCCGTGACTGAAATTGGGCAGGGGGCGTTTCTAGGCTGCGGCTCTTTGACCAATTTGACAATTCCGAACTCTGTAACCAAGATTGGACCGGGTGCGTTTTCTGGATGCAGATGTTTGACGAGCTTGAACATTCCGATCTCTGCTACCGATGCTGGAAACAGAGCCTTTCAAGACTGCAGCTCTTTGAGCAGTTTGACTATACCAAACTCTGTGAACAAGATTGGAATTCGGACCTTCTCTGGATGTAGTTCCTTGACCAGCCTGACAATTCCTGACTCCGTGACCAAGATTGGGCAAAGAGCCTTTGCAAGCTGTAGCTCTTTGACCAGTTTGACAATTCCAAACTCTGTGAACAAGATCGGAATTCGGACCTTCTCTGGATGTAGCTCCTTGACCAGCTTGACAATTCCAGACTCCGTGACCGAGATTGGGCGAGGGGCCTTTCTAGGGTGCAGATCTTTGACCAGTTTGACAATTCCAGACTCCGTGACCAAGATTTCAACCGCAGCCTTTTTTGGATGTGGGTCTTTGACCAGCTTGATAATTCCGGACTCCGTGACTGAAATCGGGCAAGCGGCCTTTCTAGGGTGCAGCTCCTTGACTAGTTTGACAATTCCGAACTCTGTGACCAAGATTGGACCGGGTGCCTTTTCTGGATGCAGATGTTTGACTAGGACACTTAAGGACGCCTAACACGGAGATCGGGCAAGGAGCCGGCTCCTGAGCCTCCATGGAAGCTTCAGCTCTTTGACCAGTCTGACAAGTCCAACGCCTCGCAGCTTCAGGTAAGCTTTTTCGAGCTTCGTTGTGCTAGTCCTTTGTTTAAGACAGTTCTCTTTGAAAGAGAGGGAAGATGACCGCAACGATTCCACCGAGACCGCGAAGAGACCACAAGCTGCGCATCCCAAGGTGCCAATGGCAAAAAGTCAGCAACCCAATGGTGAGGTCGGAAGACGGCTCTATTCCTCAATTTGTGTAGATGTCCATGTGGAAGAAGAGTCTTTTCAGGTGACCAGCCCTGTGCTTTTTGACGGACTTAGACGGACTTCTTCGGAATATCGATGACTTTGACTGAATCATGGGAAGAACCAGATCCAATTGGTTGGTTGGGTCCCTCTTTACATACATACCCATTGGGCCGGGCCCAAGTTTACAATTTGCGGTCACTCACCCAGTCATCCAGTCCATACACTTCTTTTGGACCATGGAAATGGGTTGGAAGGAACCCACTGTTACCCAGCACAGAAGCTCTGAGGGACATCCAGGCATATCTGTGCAGCATCAAGTGAGGACACTTGACATGGCAAGGGGAGGATTACAGTCATGTTCATCTTGCTTTTCCGAATTCTTGAGGGACAAAATTTTTGAGACCACTCTCTTTCTATACATCCGTATGGATTGTTTGTTGGTTGGTTTTTCGTTGCCCCCACTTTGGGCCGCAAAGGAAGACACCATGTGGTGTCGTCCCAACGAGTTCGAGGTCGACCAGGCGACCGGCCGGCTTTGACGAGCCGGGGGTTCGAGGGTCCAAATCCTCCGACGGCAGTCGCGGGAGAGGTCCCATAGCAGTGATATAGAGTAGGAAGAGGAGTCATTTTTCAGGGGTAAGCTTGGTGAAGAACTAATCATGGTTCTGGTTGGCCAAAAATGGTGGTGTGGTGAGACTTTGGGAGATTTTGGGGTGCTGAGCCTCACCCCTGCCATGCTGCGACACAAATGAAGAAGTGAACACATTTCTTGATACATCATGATACATCAACGACGCCATCCATGCTTATTCCTGCTGTGTTGACAAGAGCAGAACCCAAGCACGAAGAGGCCAATGGAGACTTTGAGGTGTCTGTCCCCACCGACAAGCCGGTAGACAACAGGTCTCCAAACGAAGCCAAAACGAAGCCCCAAACGAAGCCAACATCCACAAGGGTTTCCTTTGTAGACCCTGCCTCAAATGCCCCGTACTGTAAGAAGTTCCTTTGCTGTCCCGGTAGGTTTTTAAAGAAGTTCCTTTGCTGTACTTCACATTGTAAAGGTCTAGTGGTGATATAACTCACCTGGTGAACAAACAGAGCATAGTAGCCCAACTGGTGCAATTCCTTGGAAAACGAAGCCGGAAAACCAAAAACAACAGCCTCAGTAGAAACGATCAACATTTTTCCCGAGAGCGTCTGCGAAGGGTTCTTCGTAAGAAAACATGTGCAGAACTACGTCTCATCTACATCTTCATATCTTCACCTCTGCACATCTACATTCTCACCTATATCTTTGCTCATCTTCACATCTCTGCTGACCTTCACATCCTCACATCTACATCTCACATCTTCACCTCTCGCTCTTCTTTACTTTCTCTCATCTACATCTCTGCTGATCTTCACATCCTCACATCTACATCTCACATCTTCACCTCTCGCTCTTCTTTACTTTCTCTCTTAAGGCCGGGGGCGGTGCCGCCGGAGCACCACGAAACGTAACCCTCTGCGGAGATCGTGCGTGTCGAGGGCACGCGTTTTGTCTCTGTCCGGCGCAACCCTCTGCGGAGATCGTGCCTGTCGAGGGCGCGAAATGCAGGCGAGAGTGCGTTTTGGCCCGGTCCGGCGCGACCCTCTGCGGAGATCGTGCGTGTCGAGGGCGCGAAGTGCAGGCGAGAGTGCGTTTTGTCTCTATCCGGCGCAGCCCTCTGCGGAGATCGTGCGTGTCGAGGGCGCGAAGTGCAGGTGAGACTGCGTTTTGGATTTTTCGCGGGCAACCCTCTCCGGAGATCGTGCGTGTCGGGTGCGCGAAACGCAGGTGAGATTGCGTGTTGGACTTGTCCGCCGCAACCCTGTGCGGAGATCGTGCGCGTCAAAGGCGCGAAATGCAGGTGAGATATCAGAAGTGGCCAGTTTGTATAGTACAAATCCAGTGCGGGAAAGAGCTTTTCGGAGTTGGACTCAAAAGTGGCCAGCTTGTAGTACAAATTAGTACGGGAAAGAGCTTTTTGGAGCTGGACTCATACCTGGCCAGTGAAGCACGGGAAAGAGCTTTTTGGAGCTGGACTCAGAGGTCTGGTGACGTTCGTGATGTCGCAGTGCGATGCGGATTTGCGTGGCCTTGGTGGAAAGTGCGTTTGCGTGGCGCCGTGCCACTGGGGAGCGCGAAACATGCTGGCGTAAACGCGGCGTGTCGCTGGTGAGCGGGATGATTGGAGGTATCGTGTGATAGGATTGCTGCTAGTGTGCGGGCAGACCGTGTGGCGAATTACGTCCGTGATGTCGCAGTGCCATGCGGATTTGCGCGGCCTGGGTGGGAAGTGTGTTTGCGTGGCGCCGTGCCACTGGGGAGCGCGAAACAGGCTGGCGTAAACGCGGCGTGTCGCTGGTGAGCGGGATGATTTGTGGTATCGTGTGATAGGATTGTCTAGTGTGTGGGCAGACCGTAGGGCGAATTACGTCCGTGATGTCGCAGTGCCATTGGGATTTGCGCGGCCTTGGTGGAAAGTGCGTTTGCGTGGCGCCGTGCCACTGGGGAGCGCGAAACATGCTGGCGTAAACGCGGCGTGTCGCTGGTGAGCGGGATGATTGGCGGTATCGTGTGATAGGATTGCTGCCAGTGTGCGGGCAGACCCAGAAGAGTGCCCCGCAAGAGCTTCCTACAAGAGTGACCCACAAGAGTGTCCCAGATAGAGTGTCCCAAAAGGAGTGACAGTGACACGCTCACATCTGTACATCTGCACATCTAAATCGCACCTGCACATCCACACTGTCACTCCTTCACATCCGCCCTCTCTTTCTATATATCTTTTCGGCAGTGCTGGACAATCACATGTCTCGCTCTCGGTCCAACCGTCGTCTAGTTACCTTCATTGCCGGTCGCTCATATCACTTCAGAAGCTTTTCAGGTGACGCTTCTTGTCAGGTCCTTGTTTCCGATGGGAGTCGTTTGGATCACCAGACCCCCCTGGTCAAGGCACACGCGGTGCTCCGCACGCCGTGCGGGTGGAGCACACGAGCACCGCGCCCGTCGGAGCACCTTGGGACGCCGTGCAGCTGCTCGCGTAGAGCAAAAGGAGTGGCTGCGCCATGGTGCGTGGGTTGTGAGAGTGGCAGAATGGTGGTATAAGTTGAGCCTTTGGGCCTTTGGGCAGTCGATTTGGTGTCGGATTTGGTGGATGTCCCTGAGGTTGGGCCGCAAGGACGTCCTCGATTGTTGGCAGATGGGGAGACCGCTGACCCAGGAGTCGGAGGGAGATTGAAGGGAGCATCATCATCCACTGGGCCCTGGGAGATTGGGATACACATGGATACACCCATATGAATGCCCGGGGCCCAGACACTCCATCAAACTTGCATATTGACCGATCAGTTCGGATGGTTGACCTGGGCGTGGTGTCTGGGACCGACTCCCTGCCGCAGGCCAGGCCGGGTGAGTGCCGTGCGGCCCGTGCCCTTGGAGATTCCGCGACCGCCCTATGTCGACAGTCGAGGCCGGGAGGGACTGGTGGCGTGGCAGTGGCAGTGGTTGGTTGATGGTTGGTTGGTTGGTGGGTTGGGTTGGGTTGGGTTGGGTTGGTTGGTGGGTTGGTTGGTTGGCTAGTGACACGTTCTTATTTTCTTCTATCTCTTCGTGAGAGAGCTTGGAGATTGTGAAGACTGATTGGATAGAAGCAGCCTGCAGTTTTCGTGGTCAACTATTGCCCTCCCCCAAACCAACTTGGATCCGGGAGATGAGTATGGATCTCCAAGATGATTTCCCACATCCTTGGATGCCAAGAGTCCGTCCGGTGCACCGTTTTCTTCAGGCCCGGTGCCGCATTGGAGACCAGAGGTCGAGTTGGATCTCCGCTCTGGCTTGCCAAGGCGAACCGGCCTCATCCCCTGCGGGGGAGTCCTTTGGAACGGATCCCCTCCAAAAGGTCGGTTCTCGGCAGATTGCGCAGGGAGAATGGGTCTCAAATCGAGCTTTAGTTTGACATGTCAATGGAGTTCCCATGTGTCACAGGGCACTTCGTTGCTTTGTTATACAAACAATGCAAACGATCAATTTTAGGAATGGGTTGCAGGCTTGTTTTGTTCTGAAGATGGAAGATAGATTTCCAAGATTCCAGGCCATTCCCCACCCAATTGCAGTGGCAGGGCCAGAGGCCCAGACCTTCGTGTGCATCCGCATGTGCATCCGCATCGGCTTGTCGGGTCGCGTGTGTGGTCAGGCATCCCTTCATGTACTGCAAGGAGGTGAAGACTCCTGAGCAAGTGGGGGCCCTCTCAGTGCAGCAAGGAGGACGCAGTTTGACCCAATTGGTCGATGAGAGGTCCAGAATTCTCGACTGATGCAGGGAAAAGGATCATAGTAACTAATTAACTTGCACAGATAGTTGCTGTCATTCATTTCTTCCAAGCTGTGAGGGTGGGTATTTGGGGGCCAAGCCCGGCTGGAACCCTTGGGTCAACTTGGCGAAGCAGCGTGAACAATGCCTCCCTCAGAGTGTTCCCCAAATAGATAGTGGCACGGTTTTCAATACATGGTTGTGGTTTGTCAAAGGTGTTCAGTGCGCTCAGCCGCTGGATTTCGAGTTGCACACTAACTCGGGAAGTCTTCTTTTTGGTTTGGGCTGTGACTGAGGATATGTTGGTGAACAGGAGAAGCCTCCTTCTCTTGGCATCCCTGCTGCAGGAGACCCTCCAATTCCTCAAGCAAGAACACCGTTGTTCGGATATCAGGCTCTCCATGATCATGTGCAGAAGACCCCTGTCGATACCATCTCAGTTCTCAAGAGATCCTCATCCAACATCGTCATCCTCCAACATGTGGCTGTGGGTCTTGGCACCCAAAGCCCGTTGACCTCCCTTGTAGTCTATTCATGTCTATTGTGTTCATGTTCGGTGGGAAAAAAGACCACATCTCCCGGTTTTGAACCCAGATCAGATGCGCCAGCCCCGGCAGGTGGATCAGATGCGTCAAGCGTGTTCCATTGCGCGAGAAGCGTTGGCAGCTGGGTGACCGAGCCGTGCGGCGACAAGCAAGAAACCTCACGTGGTCTTTGGTTGCGAAAGGCACAGCGGCACAGCACCCTTGAAACAAGCTGAAAAGACTGAAGAACCAGCAGTCACCGTCCAAAGAAGATCATTTGAACGAAGGATACCTTCTCCAACGAATTCTTTTCGACTCCGGACCGGTCCGAATCTCTGGTCTTCCCGTGGTCCGGTTCGCACCGAGTCTTCATGCGGCGGCTAAAAACCGTCCGGGTATTCAGGGAGCAAATAGGAAAGAACACCTCCAAGCCCTAGAGAGTGATCCGAACAGAACAGCTCGGGAGGTATAGTTTGGATCCCGGCCCCAGCTAGGCGATGTCCTTCTTTTAAAGCTTTCGTTCGACTGTGGTCAAGGGTTGAATTGGCTTAGTGCTTTGGAGATGGCACAACATTATCACGTGTTTTGTTACTTCGAGGTTGGGGTAACTCCTTATTTTATGACCTCCGCTCACTCAGCCCTTCCACACCGACCTCTCCGAAGCAGTCACCTGTCCGCCGCCATTGGCCCGGCTCGGCGATCCTCGAGCCACGCGGGACGTGGCTCGAGCGGGTGGCCGTCCCCGAATGTCGGTGACCCTGGAAGCAGCGCGTGCAGCGCGTGTGAAAGCGTGAATGTCGGGTCAGCGGTAATAAGGGGAGATGAACTGCTTGGAACTATTGGACAACGGCCTTTAACATTTATAAACAACAACAGCAACAGCAACAAGGACGACAACAGCAACAGCAACAGCAACAGCACCATTAATTAACATTGACACTAACATTAACATTAACACTACCACCACCACGAAGAAGAAGAAGGAGAAGAAGAAGGAGAAGAAGAAGGAGAAGAAGAAGGAGAAGAAGGAGAAGAAGAAAACAAAGAAGAAGAAGAAGAAGTAGTACAAGAAGTAGAAGAAGAAGTAGTAGTAGAAGAAGTGGAAGTGGAAGTGGAAGTGGAAGAAGAAGAAGAAGAAGTGGAAAAAGAAGAAGGAGGAGCAGCAGAAGAAGTGGAAAAAAAGAAGACGAAGAAGGAGAAAAAGAAGATTACACATAAGAAGCAGAAGAAGAAGAAGAATAAGAAGAGGAAAAAGAAGAGGAAAAAGACGAAGAAAAATAAGAAGAATAAGAAGAAGAAGGAGAACAAGAAGAATAATAATAATGATCATGTGAAGAATAATAATAATGTGAATAACAATAAGAAGTAGAAGAAGAAGAAGAAGAATAAGAATAAGAATAAGTGGAAGAAGAAGAAGCAGAAGAAGAAGAGAAGTGGAAGAAGAAGAAGAAGACGAAGAAGAAGAAGAAGAAACATAATATGAAGAAGAATAATAAGAACAAAATAAGAAAAAGAAGAAGAAGTGGAAGAAGGAGAAGAATCACAATATGAAGTGGAAGAAGAAGAATAATAATGTGAAGAATACGAAGAAGTAGATGAAGAAGAATAATAAGAAGAAGTGGTGGAAGAAGCAGAAGAAGAAGAAGTAGTAGTAGAAGTGGAAGTGGAGGGGGTGCCGAAGAGACGGTTTTGCTCATGGTGGACTTGAACCGACAATTTCGTCCCAGAGACAGTTGGATGTTGCATGAAGACAGTTGGTTGTTTGGTTTTGACATTTCCTTTAAGGACTTGGGTTTGATGAGAACAACTCTTGTAACTCTTGTAAGGCTGCATCTTTTGGAACTGACAAAAAGCACATTTCGAGGCCAGCTGCTGGGATGTTCACCTCGGAAAGCAAACTTTTTTCACCTGGGAAAGTGTTTTACAACCGGCCAAGCTGGTCACGCCTTTGAGCTGTGCTTGAGACGCGCATATGCCATTTTCTTTTTTCGTTGGCCATGTTTTGGGGCTTCGACATAAGAACTTGTCGCAGATGGACAAAAGAATCAAGCCCAGTCCTACCCGCTAATTAGGTATCCGGTATCAGTGTATCAGGCCTTTTGATTGGGAAAGCTGTTGAAAGAGGGCTCGGATTCGGTTCTCCTTCTGGGTCCTACATAGCTATTGTCTGACTGGCATGGGGGATGCATGATTTTTCTTCGAGCAGGCCAGCCAATTTAGGCCAGCCGGCGGGCGATGTGGGGTCTATGCACTTCCCTCTCTTAGGGAAGTGCATATCTTCTTGTTTTTCTTGGGGCCGGGTTTTCCCTTCCCGCCTCCCCCAAAAAAGGGCACGAGAAGAGGTCTCCCATGCGCTGTAATTCGGTCCTGCAGAGCGATCCCAGGTCGCAGCTGCTCCAGAACCCTGAGAATCTGCTCGGAGTGCCTCAGTTGCAATGACACTTGTTGGACTCCCGCCCTGGCATCATGACTCATCATGTACCCACCAAGCTGCCCCCCCGTGGGTGCAGGATTTCTTTATTCCCACACCAATCCAGATGCATTGCAGGTCACTCTCTCCCACACCGCCTCGCCTCGAACCACATGGCTCCACCCCGCACCGGGTCGGAACCCCATGTGCCTCCCTGGCGCCGGGTGGCCGCGGTCGACGGCCGCGAGGCGCAAATTCGGGTCGTGACCACTTTCGGGGAAGAGATCGCCCGGGGGCCCCAGTGGGGTGCGGGGGGTGCGGTCTGGACGAAGAGACATGGGGGGGAAATGGGATGGACATTCCTCAGAATTCTCTTTTCTGGGCATAGGCTCATAGATACCCCGTGGATCCCCGTGGCCAATGGGCATGGAAAACTGATCCAGGGGGATTATCGCATCTTTTGATAGATTCTTCTCTCGCTCTGGATTTTTCCCAGGTCCTAAGAACCAAGGTCTGGGAGAAGACTCCTGTGGCAGGGAGCTGGTGTGGGGTCCATGTGGTTTCTGAGCATCGGCCCTTTTACCAGTTTTCCCCAGCCAAGTCTGGTGGAAGTCTCTCCGTCTGCAGAGCTGATTCCATCAAAAGGGGGACATCCTTGGCCACCAGGCCCTATCTCTTGCTTCGTTGCTATCCTCCGACATTTCTCCAACTCTTCATCACCGAGGAGGGCGAACTCTTTTGCGTGGACATCGGCGGTTCAAACTCGGTGGTCTTGTGCCAGAGGCCGTGGCCGAGTCGCCGCTCTCCGCGCGTGGTGACCTGCGGTCGACGGCGGGTGTTCTTCAGAGGTGAGCCAACCTGCCTGCACGCAGCGTCTTGTATTTTAGGGACCTGTGGGGTGCGTTTTCCGCGCCAGGCTAGAAAATGGCCACGTGAATTACAAGTTGGGGAGCTCGGAGGATGCGGAAGAATGGCTCCATTGAGCAGGAAATGAGGGGAGGGCACGCCATTGCCTGCGGCTGGACTCATGCATTTCCCACCTGAGGAGGGGCAGTGTTGGTTTGACACTTTCTCTTTCTCACGAAGCAGGTTCCGAGCAAAAGCTGCAGAACGAGTATGGTATAATATACATATCAAGAGCCAAGAGATATACAATGGTGGGTGCAAACGGAGATGATTTTGTGGCTCTTTACAAGGATTCCTCGTGGGGAAACTGGGTGCTTCCACTATGCACCGTGCGGAGCTTCCCAGTGACCAAACTTGAGATCCCTGTGGCCGACACTTAGGTCTTGAACTTCGGTCCCCGTGTCGAAGGTCGCAGCTAATTAAGATAGCTAAGGCTGTTTTCTGGGGACTTCCGGTGGGTAGAGGTGGTTCATGGGGTGCTGAAGCGCTGAATCACATCGAGAAACACCAAACGGCCCAAACTGCAAGAACAAGACCATCATCCGAGACATGTCCTCCTTCTTGCCGGCAAACGTTTCGTGAAGTTCTTTGTTGCGTTATCACGGCCTCCTTCGTCTTGAGCTGTTTGTTGATTTTTGCCATTTGCTGGTGAAGAAGCCTTATCCGGCCTTTTTGTGACGTAGACCAGCGACATAACGATCCATAACGTTTTTTTTGGATGGGCATTTTTTTCGGGATTCATTTACGTTTATACTTTTTTTTTTCAGATTTGCCTTTTTGTCTATTTTGTTTTTGCTGCATTTTTTGCTTTGGGTGTTTGCCTTCGCTTTTTTTCCTGCTTTTGGTGCGGGCCTTTGCTTTTGTTTCCTTTGCTTTGGGAATCATGCCGAGGAATCATTCCCAGAGAAATTTTAATTAGATGGGGAAGGAACCATTCCAACATAGCGTTTTTTTTGTGAGCCAACCGAGAGTAAAGGAGCCATTCCAACGTAGCCGCGCCTACCTTTTGTGAGCCCAGTTGAGGGTAAAATTTAGAGGAGGCCCCCCAACTGCTGGCATCAGCTGCGGATGTAAAGGGTGTACTGTATGTCCAAAGGATTGCAAAAAGGACACCTAAACTGCTGTAAATAGCAGGCAGCTGTGATGCCCCACGATTCGGGGAGGTACACCTTTTGCAACAAGCACGGTTCCTGCAACTAATTTATTTTCTGGTCCGAGCAACACTTTCGCCTGCGAGGGTGCTTTGTTTCAGTCTGGAAGGAGTGTTCGGTTTCGAAACACCGTCAAAATCAGCACTGTGCCGAGGTGGACCAAAACAAACATCATCAGGGAAGTGGTAGCCACAGGGATTCCTCCCACTGGAGTCTTGGAGGACTGTGCTCAAATCGGGTGAGTGGCTGCGTCAAGGTGGGTGAGGAGTGGCTGGGTCAGGGTGGGTCAGGAATGGTTGGAAGGCTTGACTATATTATGCCAGTGGTTACAGGGGAAACCCGATGGTTGGAATTGCCATTTGGGCCTCAGCCGGGCGAGACCGGCAAGGCCAGCATGCAGATCTTCCAGGATGTCTGAACCCCACCATGGATTGAAGGGTTTTGACTCGAACCACAAAGGAAACTGAACACTCCTTACTTACTGTTGAGTCAACATGTGCCAACACTGTCAAGTCAAGTAAAGGAGTGTTTTAATAAGGGTTTTAGACCGGGTGGCTCACTCCGCAGGTCCGAGGTGTTCTTCCAAACCACCCGTCTCCTGGGTGCTGCGAACAGAGGGTCTCACCAATGGCTCTCGATCCCAAAGCAGGAAGTGGTGAGTGTGAACTGCAAAGAAACCTATGATCCACAGATGTTGAAAGCATCTGGATCTGTTGGATTCTGCAAAACACGGGGATCGATTCTGCCGCTTCAGCTAGGAAACTCTTGTGAAAGACAACTTTGCAGTCTAGTCACTCGAAATGAGAACGAAGTCAGACGCTTGGACCGAGGTCAATTCGCTTCCTGGACCATCCAAAAGGGTGTCTGGAGATCCAGCAGTGTAGTCCAGCGACATCCAGATGGTCGGATGGTCCCGGTGTCTTTCTCCTTTGGGCCTTGGGTCGCGTCGACCAGGAGCTACCCAGCGTCGACCTGGACGAGTTGGAGGCCAAGGCCCTTCAACTCGAGGAGGAGCAGTTTGTTCAAACCCCGCGCTCGGTGCAGCAGTGGTTTGGAACGGACTCTGGTGTTGGAGTTGGATCTGGGGATTTTTGTTTCACTTTTATTTTGTATACTACTCAATTTGAATGATTGATTCTTGAAGGAGTTTTAGGCAAGTGCCACCTGGCAGTTCAAAGCCGCCAAACACTTAGAGGGTCACTCAACGTTGATCGACTTGGGTTGCCCTCCCACAACCGGAACACCAAACAGACATAGGTCGTTTGTTCGCGACCCTTGGGTCTGGAGGACCCCGGGGGTGTGCGGAGGACCCAGGTCTAAACCGAATGGCTCATCGCAGGAAGCCTCCCAGAATGCTGCCCGCTTTGGCGTGGGCGTCACGGAGCAGGTGAGGAGTGACGTGAGTTGACCTGGGGCGATGGAGGTTGGGGTGGTTCATGGACACCCCGAATCCGCTTTCTTTTGTTCATGAGGGTGTTGACTAGTGACTAGTGGTTCTTACAGCCGCTGAAGCGAAGCGATTCATGGACACCCCCAGTTGAGGGCTGGAGGAATGGGGGCTTCTTCCGTTCCGAACCCGAACGTTCCCTTGGCCTCCTTCTATTTTGCCCGGAGTTTTTGAGAGAGAATCGGTCTTTGCTTGCAGCCTTTGATGAACAAGCACCGTTCTAAAGCATCTACTAAAACCTAAAACATTAATCATGAATCATCAATGTTCGACGGCAGCTTGGATGTACTTAAACTACATACCTAGATCCTCCAACCGTGCAGATTTTCCCGCCTTTTCATCTATCAAACCAGCCAAAATGGATGAGTTAAAACTTTAAAGGTTTCCAAGCAGTTGGATGATCTGGGTATACGGTGTACAGTACATTTGTTGTGGGCTGTGTTTCAAGCAAAGACTTATAGCAAAGCCATTAGGCTTGGGCGGTGTATTTTGCTTTGGGATTTTTCTTCTTTGACTTTGGTCTCTGGGCTTATCTTGGGCCTTAACCTTGGGCTTGAGCCTTAAGCCTTGCACTTGGGCTTTGGCTTTCTTTTGGGGTTGTGGACCTTATGTTATATTTCGGCCTTCATCTTGGAGCTTGTGCTTGTTCTTGGGCTCGACCTTGAGCTTGGGCCTTCTTTCCTTGGCTTCTCTTTCCTTTCCTTCTTTCGGCTTGGGACTTCGGAAGCTTCCCCTAGCCTGGGTACCTCCTATAAATAATATGAACTACACACCAGGAATCACAGGTCGCTCGGCCCATCCAAGGGCCGTGGATGTGATGTTCAGGGTACCCAACCTCTCCCCTCCTCTCCTCTTCTCTGCTGGACCGGCACCCAACTCCATGTGACTCTTTGGGAAATACATTTTGAGGTTGTCAGCCTTGTCAGCTAAAGGAGTCGAGAGCACGGAGGCCTTGCTTCTCGAAAGAGAACACCAAACCCCACGTGTTTCCTTCCTCTCACGGGCACTGCGGCGGGCACTGTGTCCTTTTCGGCACGAGGCACAGGACTGCTTTGACGCCTTAAGCAAAACCATGCAGGTGGAGTCGGGGGCCCCTGGGGATCGAAGATGCGGTGTCACTTGATGTCACTTGAAGGATGCGGTACGTAAGGCTTTCTTTCGAAACCACGTACTGTACGTGCGTCTTTGTTTTAAAGAGCGGGCGTGGGGTAGGCCGCTAGCAGCTAGGTAGCTAGTAGCTAGAGGTAGGTAGCTAGGTAGCTAGTAGGGAGAGGTAGCTACTAGCTGCAAGTAGCTACTACCGACAGGACGCAGGATAGCGCTCGCACTAATGATTTGGTTTCTAGGTTTTTAGGGAAACTAAACAACGCTGGTGTGTTTCAGCCGCATTCCTGTGGTGTTTGCATGGGTTTGCCACTTCGAAGAGAAGGTGCCCTTCGTAGCGAAGGGCCCGGAAGTGCTAGAGCTGCTCGGGTCCTAACCCCGTCCACCATGCGCAAACGACACCACTGTGATTGTGGTGAAGACGGGGGCAATCCAGAGTTGACGGGCTGCTTTTTGTGTTAGTTTTTGGAGTTCAACTTGTAAGACTTCTGTTGAACTGTTGGGATGCAGTCTTAGATCATCTAATCTAAGTAAGCATTTTGTTACTTCATTTTCTTTATTTGAAGATGGTTGTGGACTTTGATTTCTCACGGTGCCCCTACAGTTGCCCGCACAGCCGCTGTGCATGCGCATTTTCCCTGGAGCTGGGTGGTCGTGTCTTGGAATCCTTGCCAATGACACAGGCGTGTAGAGGGTAACTGCGTCGAGAGTCTGCACTGCAGACCCTTCTTTTGTGTTTGTTTTTTTGCTAGGAAGGCTGGTTAGCAACATGGCCCTTTTCCTGTGATCTGGGAAAGGAAGGGGGAGGGGACGATTTGTTTCCAGTGGGTCCAGCGTTTTCGCTCCGCGGTTTTTTTCTCTCCCGACTCGTCTGAGGTGGGAGGGCGAGGACATCAAATGTATGGGCTGTAAAATCTCCAAACCCTACGCCTCTTGGCGATGCGGACGACGGGGAAACCGGCGATGGATCCGCCCGCGGAACGCCGCGGAGGTCGCGCACGCGCGCTGCCGACGGCGCGAGCGGCGAGGCTGTGCTGTCTTTGGTTTCATGCAGTTGGGACGCCTTCGGACTCACACATCCTCTAAGGAGAACGAACGTTCGAAGTCACATGGAGCTGGGTGGTCGCGAAGAGAGGAGGAGGGTAGGGAGAGGCCCCGAAGATCCCCATCGCATCCGGTCCACAGTGGATGGGACAAGCCACAGCACCCTGAGTGACCGGTGATTCCTGGTGCTTAAGCTGTGCCAGTGTTCCTGTCGGTCAAGGGAGCTAGGCAAGTGAGTTTGGACACTTCGGGCAGGCGCCGAAAAGGCCACTATATAGCCTAGAGCCCCTCTCAGTCCTTTAGGTTGGAGAGAATTCAATTCCTTCCTTCCTTCCTTCCTTCCAGTTTTGACCCACATCCATCTATGGTAGTGAAGCCATTCCCGAGGGCTCCGTGCCACCCACCCAGGATCCCATGAAGAGCATCAGCGGCCCGAATCCACAGGCCTGCGGCGGTTTGGTTCCGCGTTCCTCGGGTGGAACACCTGGGGCTCTTATCATACAAGGGTTTCCGCGCTCCAAAACCGTGGAGGCTGCGATGTTTGTTTTGGGGTACCCCACATTATATGTGGCAGGGCAGTGAGGCGGTCTGAGGGGCGGGACAATGGGCTTGACTCACAAGTTAGGTGTAAGCAAGAAGATGGGTTTTGGACACCGGGCCTCGTAACTTTTGGGAGGAATCTTATCTCGGGGGCTTCCCCCCTCCGAGGTTCATTCTTTGGTGAAGGAGCCTCTTGCCTCTTTGCTGTGTTAGAGCTCTTCAGATGCAAGACATGGCTTATAGATAGCCTTCTTAGGGGATGTGTTCGATGCATGTGATTTATATATATAATGCTAGGGAACCGCTTCGGAAGTAAAGACTCTTTGCAGGGAACCATCACACCACTCTGAAGTGGTTAGGATTAGGGTTTCAGGTTGGAGCTCTATGGGAACTTTTGTCAGAGTACCTGCACGCTCTTAAACAAATTAAAGCAACTTGTTGGGGCACTCCAGCCCTCCAAATCAATGGCAGCTGTTCAGGGCCGCGCTTTCACCTTGGCATGGATCAAACCTGACCCCCCCCGCCAACCCGGAGCCCTGGGACCAGCATCCGGCCACGCGGCCAGACCGTTGATCGAGTACGTAAAGTGCTGCAATCCGAACTCGGAAGGACGGGTTGTGCGGCACGGGGGCAGGACGGAGCAGCGTTTGTCTCGAAGAGAAGCCGTTGGGTCTCGGTGGACAGGGTGTGCCCTGTTGGAGAATGGGTGGAGACAGAGCACGGGTGGAGTGGTCTTAGGGCTCCAACCATATCCTCAGGTGGTTAGACCTCAACCACCGAACCTGAGGTGGTTGGAGCCCAATGTAACAAACCATATCATGGACCTGTTTGGGCAACAGAGCTGACGAGACTACAAGACTCACTCCAAAGCGTCTTGGAGGAACGCACGGCAGCTCTCCGCGACGCGGGGTGACGCTTCGCCCGACGGAACGGAACGGGCCGGTTTGGGTTGAGATCAGGTGATTTGACCCACAGTTCTATGGGCCCAAGTACATGTGGGTGCGTAGCATCAGGAGACCTTCTGTTGGTGTGTACCTCGAACTAGGAAGAAGGGAAATAGACATCCATTAGTTGATGGGGGGTCTCCCGATTCAAATGCACACCCATTTGATCCTTTTCATTATTTTTCACAAAAGGTAAAGAGACGTACCGTTTACAACGATGTTGACAGCCTTTTGCCTTGCACAAATGGTGCCTGGCACCACTCGTGCGGGGCACTCTCGGGTTAAGAGGAACAAGATGGAACAAGCAACATCAGTGCCCCGTTGGAGTTTCATGAGTTTCCTCCTATATACCTTGCTTCCCAGAACCCCCCAGAACCAGTCACCTTGAAACGTGACCTTTTCATGACCTGTGCAGCACCCCGTGACCTCGTAACAAAAGCTCAGATCGACCGACCGACCTCTTCGCGTGATCAACCGAGAACTCGGGCAGCTCCGCACGGTCTCCGCACGCAGCTCCGCACGGTCTCCGCACGGTCCGGTCGCGGCGAAACCGGCTTCGGAACGTGTCGGTCCACCGAGCATCGGAACGGAAGTGGTCCACGGTGAGGTCGTGCCCTTGTGGCCCGAGCTACCAGGATGACTCCTGGTCAAGATGTCTTTTTTCACCCCAAACGAAAGGAGCACTTGAGGTGTGGTTCCCAGGTGGTTGGATCTCCAACGACAAGGTGGGAGCTTGAGATGCACCAACAGGATGATCATGGTGAGACCTTGTCACCACTCGTTAACCTTTGTAGATGAACAAGACATTTTGCTCCCAAGAGTGTGGAGATCGACACATTTTTCTTCTGGAATTCCTTTGTTTCGTGTCAGGCTTTCTGAGACCTTGGCTTCAGAACCCGCTGCAGTATGAAGGCACCAGACTCTGTGGGAAAGCTCCAGTTCAGGACGTTCATGGCTGGACACTCCGCAATTCGCGGTGCACGGCTTGAATTCACCCTGGGGTGAAACTCACGGCCCCATGAACCTAGGCCATGAATCATGGGGGTTCCCCCCCCCGGACACCCCCTCGCAGCCGGTTCCCCGACGCGGGTCGCAACGAAAGGGGGCAGCCTTTGCGTCACTCAGGATGCAAAAGAAGAGCGGGAAGTGAGCGCCTTTGCGTCAGCCTCACGAGTGGATGGGATCGTTGCGTTGCCTTCGCTTTTGGGATCGCAGAGAACGCGCTGTGTGTTTTGTTTGGAGGTCGCGACATGAAAAACGCCCCAGCGGGAGAGCCAGAAAACAGCCAATGTGAGCCATGGGGGGGGTGTATCTTCTTTTTGCGCCAAAAAGGAGCTACAGAGCGACAATCTATACCTACATCTTCCACATTACTTTTTGATATTTTTAGGTTGTTTCAAACAAAACATAGTTGTTGGGGCAGGCGGCGGAATTTTATGTAGTGCAGCACTTTTTGGATTTTTGATAGAATGAGGGAAATGACCAACAGTGACACATCACATCACCCAGCAAGAAACGAACCAAAACGGCGCAGTTTGTTTGCACACTTTTTTTGTCGCACTACTGACTAAAGGTCCAAAGTGGCAGGCAAACCCATGAAGCGCCAGCTTTTCCAGAAAACGACTAAAACTAACTACATCAAGCGACCGAAATTATATATATATAGTTGAGTTTCACAAAACGACAACACTTTTACATACCCGGGTGTCTTAGGTATAACGTTGTCACACTTGACCCAGCTCAGCATGGAAACCTTGAAGAAACTTCTCTCCCCACAGAGAGAGAGAGAGAGAGAGAGAGAGCGAGAGAGAGAGAGAGAGAGAGACAGACAGAGAGAGAGAGAGAGAGCGCGAGAGAGGAAGGGAGGGAGAGACTGAGAGACGGAGAGACAGAGAGACAGGGAGGGAGGGAGAGAAAGAGAGAGGGAAACACAGAGAGGACACAGACACGGACATACAGACACAAAGACACACAAAGACACGCAAAGACACGCAGACCCAGAGACACAGAGACTTGCGCAACAAGTTCACTGCCACCCAACCAGAAGTTTTTCCACAGCTGAGGTGGTTGAAAAGGGGTCAAAGTATACAGATTCCCTACATTCTAAGCCGGTTCGCGTGCATTGTCTTGCTAAGGGGTACCCACTCGCGCCCGCGCAGAGAAAACAATAGAAAGGCAATCAATCTTTACTGTCTTTACCGCGGGTGATAGGGAAAAGACAGGGCGACACCCCCGGTAAAAACGGTAAACTAAGAAACACATCAATTTCTACAACCTTTTTACCGCACGTGTGGTAGAAAAGAAGGGCGACCCCCCTGGTACAAACGGTGAAACAGAACACCATGATTTTTACCGTTTTTACTGCGAGGGTTGTAGAAAAAAGGGGGGCGAACCCCGGAAAAAGATGGTAAAACAAGAGCCAATTCAATTTTTTGCCCGTTTGTACCGCGCGTGTGGATAAAAAAGGGGCGACTCCCCTGGAAAAACGGGAAACACATAATCTTTTCGATTTCTACCCGTTTTTACCGCGCGGATGCCTCGGGAGAACCCCGTAGCCCGAGCAACCCCGCTAAACCAGCACAGCATACATTTGGAGTGTTTGGCACAGACATCGAACGCACCCCCCGATCTCCGTCTTCAGACCGAAGCAGTTCGGCTTAAACGAAGTGAAGACGACCGTTCCGACCGCCTTTAGACCGTTCCTTTAGACCGTTCAGACCGAAGCACCGAAGCACCGGATGACCGGAACTCATGCGATCTCGAGGAACGGCCGACCGGGACCGGGGCGACCGGTGACCGGCGACCGCGACCAGAGGGTCGACCGTGTTCCACGCGTCGCCGATGAGCAGCGCAACGAGCGAGGTCGCGCCCAAAGGAAAGCGAACGTCAGTCTCCGAACGTCAAAGGGGGCCCCCATGTGTTGTGAAGATTTCGATGTTTGACTTTAGCACGTTTTTCGTTTTTTGATTTTCTTTGGTGGAACGTTTTTATGTTTTTAACCCTGAAGAAGAATCTCATGGAATTTCCAAAGAACAGCTTCACGACTTGCGAAACCAAGTCCGCCGCTCTTGTTGCTGCGGTTCCCACCACCTGCGGTTCGATGATTGGCTGCTCATCTGCTGCGTGTCACGTGTCGAGCGTTTTCTGGGAGCATTCCGCCAATTTGATGAAATCATCGCGGCGTGTTTCCTCCATCTTGTGCCCCCCCCCCCACCCCCAAAATGATCCACTGCAGTTCAAGATCAAGATACATGTGTGAAGCGGAGTGAACGAAACTTTCAATTCAGTGTCTCTGTGGGGGGGGGTTGCCAGACTCTGCCGGCCCTCGTGGTGGGGAACGCGCCATTGGGCGATTGAAAGGCGTTGGAACAACGCCCGCCCGCACGGACAGGGGCCTCCGCCCAAGCTGAGGACCCTTCGGGGGCGAAACCCCATGGGTCAGAGTATCTCCGGAACTGCACGGGTCAACCCGATTGGCGAGATCGGAGACGGACTGGGGGGGCGAGGCACAAGGCGCTAACGGGAAATCGCTGGATTTGGTAGAGAGCGGGAGACCTGAGGGTGATTCAGATGTGGGCCATGGGCCATACACGTAAGAAGTCATAAGAACACTTTGGGGGGGAAGAACATGTAAGGACCATTGAATCACAAATTGCATCGCGATGGTGAGTGGCCACAGAGTGTGCCGCCTTTTTGCCGAGTCCGCCTCCTCCACATCCGTTTGGGCGGCTTGGATGGGCTGCCGGGTGAGGAGTGCCGGAGTGCCGCCTGCGCTTGAGGAACCGCTCTGCGGCTCTGCGGGGTGATCGACTCAAGTGAGTGCATGAAGTGGATCCCCAAGCTTCAGTTAGTCACCCCCCCTATAGGGATCGATGGTGAAGCATCTCCGGGAAGCTTCATTCACCAGTACCTCATATACACCCTGGGTTGAGGAAGCTCCATCGAGAGGGCCACCGAAAAGACCTGCCTGTACCTGGAATATATAAATTGGCTGAAAGAACTCAGAAGAACTCCATAGATCTCAACAATTTTCTCCACAAACTTTGCCAAGGGGGTACTAATTTCAGATTTGTGCAATGTTTTATACATCTTAAATTGTTTTCAATCCTAAACCAACTAAAAAGCAACAAGAAACACCGATAAGATCCCATATGCAACCCTTGCCAACCAGCCTGAAACCACTCTGCCCTTCCGGGTTAAACCCGTTTTCCCTTCGCTCCTAGATCCAAAGAAAGAGGCAGATGACTCCCACATGGCCGTGGCATGCTATGGCTCAAATGTTTGACCTGCAGGACCTCCTTCCTGGATGTTGGATGGTGCACTCCGCAGCAAAAACCGTTTCTCCGGACGCCAATGGGAGGGTTTTAGAAGGCCACGCGGAGCGGAGGGCGCGTCGTTCGGGCGCGAAATGAGAGCCTTTGAAAGGAAACATCGGCACCGAAAGATATTCCTTTTTGTTTTTTCGTTGTTGGGAGAGCACAACGGCAGTGCAAAGTTGGCACGTCCCTGTGATGCTTTGCCACTTGTTACCCTGACTGCTAGAACGAATGGAGGCACAACATGTTCCTCCTACAGGAGTCTGGGTATACAGTATCTGCTAAAGAGTTGGACGACTCGACTGACTTCCTGGCCAACCTAGCATGGTTTGGGGTCTCCATTTTCTTGCACTGGATATGGTCGACGGGCTTCGGGCATAGATGGTCTTTGAGTATTGGTTGATTAATATAGAGGCTTATAGAGGAGATAACCCCAGGTGAACAACCAATATAGGATCCAATAGAAAGATGGCACCTGGCAGCAAGTCATCTATTGTGATTTCCAAGGTCGGACATGATTGGCTTGGGGTCTATTTTGTATATTTCATCCACATCCACATGAGACTCTGCAAGTCGGGTGCTGTTGATCCTGGTTTTGCTGATGACCTTTTTACTTTCCCGAACTGGGTGAATGCCCTGAACTGGGGAAGAACATGAACCAGGAGTCACAGAGCTCGGGGTGGTGTTTGGTCTCCAAGTGAGTGGATGTTCTGGGCACCCCTAAGCTCCATGGATAGCACCCCGTCTTGTGACTGCTGGGGAAAGACATATTCCCCGCACAGCGAATCCAAGTTCTATGGGGCGTCAACGACCCCATGCTCCGCACCGCATTGCTCCACATTGCTCCCGCCGCGTGCGGAGGCCGTGCCGATTCGGGGGGGTTTTCTTTGCGCCGTGGGTGTTGCTCGATTTGGCCCAATGGATCTGGTGCACCAAGAGTCACTTGAAGAAAGGCCTTTTCCTTCCAAATGAGAAAGTATAACATCCTCCCATGTAAGTGGGCTTATAGATGTTCATAGGGAAATGTAGAGGGTTTTTGAGACGACCTCACACGATCGGAGACAAAAAAAAGTCGATGTTCTAAGGGCACTATCTGTGTGGACTGCGAAGGCTGAATGCAAGCTAGATTTTGCCGGCATTGGTCCTGCCCTAAGGCCCTATAAGGATCCGGGCCCTCAGACGGAAAGGGTTTCGAGGGTACAAACACCTACTATGGAGGGTCCAAGGATCCTTAGCGTGCCTGGTTTTTGGGAGGGGGAAGGCGACATTCACCCCTTAGCCTTGAAAGGGAAAAAAACACACACCACCGTTTTCCAATGCCAGAGAGGCTTTCTACGTCCCCAACCATGTGAATGGATTCTTTTTTGACTGGGGGGGCACCCCACTTGCTTCCAAGTTCACCCAACTCGATGGAACTGCTTGGCGCTTTTCGATCTTTTTTCTGCTTCCGATCCAATGGGCGGCTTAGACCACCAGCACGCTGCCTTCTGGGCAGCGTACCGCCGGACACGCCGCGGGCATCGTCTTCGCCGAAGACACGACACGGCCGTGCAATGAGCAAAAGCTGTCAGGAGGCTCCTGCGGGGAGAGTGGTATATTATGAGGTGTTTTGATTCGATTGCCGCTTTATACCCTAATATCTGAGGATATATGATACCGCGTTTTTGGATGCGCCCAGATATGCGAAATCGCATCCTTAAGTTGTGCCTTTGTTGACATCGATTCTGCATCACAGTGGTTCAAGTCTCTCCCAACATCTCCCAAATCCAGAGAATGGAGTCCACCTCCCTCTGTTCTTCCAGATGTGGAACCACCTGGCGATCTCAGCATGTAA